CTATAATGGCTATAGAAAGTTTCAATACTTTTATTGGAATTTTATCAACTCCGATTGCCTTAGAGGAGGATAAAGCATGAAATGAATGTAAAACTTTATCAACAGATACAGTATCAAACTCAAATGTCGTGGATGATTTACTTATGTATGACCTAAAGTGAGTATTTCCAGAATCAACGGAATTTGCAATTTTGTCTCCGCTTGAAAGTCTCAGCTATTTCATTAGAACCAGAAATAATATTATCATTTTGTCTAATGCTAGATATAGAGGATTTATTATGGCCTCGCCCAAGGATTCGATTTATAGTTTGCCAACTTTCTTTCGGATTGTGTTTGTATTTATAAAGCAAATTACTATAATATAATTGCTTATCCTTTTGTAAGTGCAAGAAACATCCTTATCCTTGCTTAGCTAATAGAATTCTAATCTCATCAATATATTTCGGCAGGCTGACAATGTTTAGCATGGCTACCTTAAAGCCCCTAATTTTAGGAAAGCCAGACTCAAGTAGACTTATTGGATTGCAACTAGCCCGAATCGAATATCATATATAATTAGAAAAGTTACTGCTAAGATAGCTCGTTCCTTTCCGATTTAGGTGCAAACCTTTTAGGTTAAGACATGGCGGACTGTCATGAATAGCGAACACTGTGATTGGTCAAATTTAAAGTTTACATTATAACCACAGAGTAGATAAGACATACAGAGACGTAACTGACCGTTGTAAACACTGCGGAGGATTACATTATCATGTACCCACTTTTTTTCAGGCGACCGGGCGAAAAATGATCAACTGCGCGTGCTCCGCAAGTTTAAAGTGAGTCGTCATCAGGTCGTCATCCAATCAGATGCATGCATCTAGTAACTTGCCGAGCATGCGCACAAAAAAGTGGGTACACTAGTTACGTCTCTGTATGTCTCTACTCTGTGTTATAACGACTGCATGACGACAGCGAAATAGCAAACATTTCTTGATTTGATGATTGATAAATTTCTTGCAAATATATTTCATTTTTGATCGCATTTTTGCAAGATTTGTAAATTTCAAGAAAGAAAGGGCGAAAGAATCGTCTAAAAGAGGGGAGCTGACGTTAACGAAGGTAAATGTGTTTTAAATATTGATTTTATAATCGTTTTAAAACCCGACGGCATTTGCGTATATGAAACAACTAAACAAGACAGTTTTTAATTTCTATATAATTTTATAAATTTTTTTAAATTATAAAGAAAGCAAAGTTATTTGCATGCGAGAATTTGAAATCATTTTGTTGCAAACTCAAAGCGTATCGATAGGGCCATTTAATTAAAGGCAGTTTAGTCTCGAGTTTAGTTCTATAAAGAACACTTTAAAACGTTTTGCGAAACCGACGATAATTTTTTAAGAATATTCTAACAAATGAAAAATCGCCTAAAAATATCACTTTTAATTACAAAATTATCAATTTCCCAACATATGTATGTTAGGTATGATATTATACGTAATATACGCTTCAATTTAAGATAAATTTTATCTTAAATTGAAGCTTATATTACGTATAATATCATACCTAACATACATATGTTGGGAAATTGATAATGTTGTAATTAAAAGTGATATTTTTAGGCGATTTTTCATTTGTGAGAAGATTCTTAAAAAATTACGTGTTACCATAACAACTACTTTAGATATTTCATGTTCAGAAAATACAATGGTTTTGTCAGCAAGGTGAGGGTTTTTGCCATTCTCGTACCCAGAGCCCTTCTTACGCGCAGTGAACTGAGCGCGACGAGGGGCTCTGGCCAAATCTATAATCGGATACCATAAAAACATGGTATCCGGTTTAACACTACGCATGTTCAACGTCAAACGCGGATAAACACTTCGGTTTTCTTGTTTGTTTCGTTTTGAAAGTTTTACTCCAGGAAAACCCCACAAAAGCGGAATAACGAGCTAAAAATGAATCCTGTTTACTAAAATATAAAGCCATATTAAATGCTACCTAGAAGCTTGAAAATTATGCCGAATGTTCGACTAAAAATGTTTTGACAACACAGTCATCTCAGGCAAATATTTCCAATCTCCTCAGCTACTTAAACCTGTCAAGTAGAAAGCGTAGTTGTGTATACCAGTATGGTTTAGTGTTGATCACAACTTGCGAGTATATAAATAACATCAACGATTATACGACCATTGCTCAGACTCAGCATTGTAAATTTGGATATAATTTTTTTTAATTGAGCACATTTTTAATACGGTTTGAAATTGGATATGTAGACATCGAACATGATCAACGAACATTGTCGTATTTACAAGGTTATTTGTATATATAAATTTTCCGCCATATTAAAAATACTGAAATCTGCTAGGCGTTCTGGAGCACCTTTAGCGGTGACGTCACACCTAGGTCCCAGTCTCGTATTACATTCGCTTTTTTTTTTCTTGCGCTTGCCTCAGAACGACTGAGACTAGGCTGTGCATGCATGTATTTTCTAGTTCTTTATGTGAATTACCGTCCTCCCAACTGCTCTCCCAACACCTCTCCTCTCAGTCTTCTAAACAACTCCATAGCAACTAACCTGATGTACTAACTCTCTCATGTGATGAACATAACTTTCCGACTGATCACTATACTGTTGAATTCCTTACTCGCACAAATTAAAGTTCAGGGTCGGTTGTATAAAAAAGTGATTAAAATTAACTATGATTAAGTGCAAACGTCATCCAATAGGAAGCGCCTATTTGAAAGTTAATCACTATTTAACTACAAAATAGTTATTAAAAAAGTGATTAAGAGTTTTATACAACCGGCCCCAGAAAAGCAAAACCTGTGTGGCGAACAGTCTGTGATTGGTAAAGCCTTGTCTCAAACAGATCTTCGTGTATCTCTTTCGGACAACATGGAATGATTGTTGGAAGCATTGGAAGGACTTATCTTTATCTGTTGTGTCAAGTTATGTTCCGACCAAAGTTGTTAAGGATACCAACTCGCCTCCCTGGATCGAAGGGGAAGTTCGCCATCTAATCCGAAAAAAGGTATACACCGCCTTACGTAAACATCGCTTGAAGAAAACGCCTGAACGTAAGGTTAAACTCCGGACATGGTGTCACAAGTCAAGAATGTCAAGAATGTTATGCGAAAGAAACATAAAAAGTATTTGGACACAATTGAAATTTCATTTAAAGAAAATCCGAAATTGTTTTGGAGTTACCATAAAGCGGCACTCCACCACCGTTCAGCATTAAATCCTATCATATTACACAACAATGAGACAGCGATGACTCAAACAAAAAGCAGAACTTTTTAACTCATACTTTTGCTCCGTTTTTCGACCACTTAAAGCTTTATCTATCACTGATGATTCACCTCGCTTACTGTCGCCTGTGGAACAATTGTCTGATATAACTGTTTCGAAAGAAGAAGTTGTCCATCATCTTGCACACTTGGATCCAACTAAGGCAATGGGCCCCGATGGTATTCCTGCTCGGGTATTGAGGGAATGCAGTTATGCCATTGCCCCAAGTCTTTGCTCACTCTTTAATCATTCATTACATACTGGTACTGTTCCATCTCAATGGAAATCAGCTGATGTCTCACCAATTAATAAGAAAGATAAAAAGGAACTATAATCTTGGCAAAAGTTAATGAAACACCTATAAAAAATCAATAAAATAGACAAAATCCCCTCTCCCCCCTGCACAATGTTGGACATAGAGTCAAACAAATTGTGTGCAATAGTTCATCTATGGCAGCGAGCACTCTGTGCAGGTTTCCTGCTCATCTTAATCAACATTGGAAGGGAAGAAGGGGGGAAGAATAAATTAAATTGTTAATCAAACTGGACGTTTCATTAGTTTTTTCCAGGATTGAATCTTGGCAAAAAGTTAATGAAACACCTACAAAAAATCAATAAAACAGACAAAATCCCCTCTCAACCTGTACAATGTTGGACATAGAGTCAAAAAAGTTGTGTACAACAGTTCATCTATGGGAAAGAGCATTGTGTGTAGGTTTCTTGCTCATCTTAATCACCATTGGAAGGGGGGAAGGGTGGAAGAATAAATTAAATTGTTAATCAAACTAGACGTTTCATTAGTTTTTGCCAGGATTGAATCTTGGCAAAAAGTTAATGAAACACCTATAAAAAATCAATAAAACAGACAAAATCCCCTCTCAACCTGTACAATGTTGGACATAGAGTCAAAAAGGTTGTGTACAACAGTTCATCTATTGCTCATCTTAATCACCATTGGAAGGGGGGAAGGGTGGAAGAATAAATTAAATTGTTAATCAAACTAGATGTTTCAAAAAATTTTGCCAGGATTGTAGCTATCAACTACCGTCCAATATCACTGCTGTCTATCATCAGCAAAGTCTTGGACCGATTCGTTTGTAAATAGTTTCTGCGAACATGTCCGAGATTCGATTAATGAAGCTCAGCATGGATTTCTTCATGGCCGTTCTTGTGCTACACAGCTTCTTTCAACGTTACATCGTTTTGGACATTTGCTTAACAAACATTCTATTTCTTAACTTCGCCAAAGCCTAGCTCGACTCAGTGGATCATGTTATTCTCTTAAGATAGCTGAAAGATTACGGTATCGCAGGATGGTTCTCTGACTACCTGCATAACAGTACCCAGCATGTTGTAGTAGAGGACGCTGCTTCGTCATGGTACTCTGTCACTTCTGGCGTTCCACAGGGAAGCGTCTTGGATCCAATGCTTTACTTACTCTTCTCAACGATCTTCCTGATTTTTTCTGTGTTGGTGTAATGTACTCAGGTAAATATGATGCTTGTGATGTTACTCTGAGTATATCCACACCGGGAAAAATATGCCTGACCACGATGGGAATCGAACCAATGACCTTTGGAATACTAGCCCAATGCTCTTCCAACTGAGCTACGCGGTCAGATCGGTTCGTATATGTGATATTTCGGAACAGAATCTAGTTCCTTCGTTATCAAAGTAATCTAGTAATCATGATTTTTTCTGTGTTGGTGGATTGTACTCAGGTGAATATAACTTAGAGTAACATTATAAGCATCATATTCACCTGAGTTCATTACACCAACACAGAAAAAATCATGATTACTAGATTACATTGATATCGAAGAAACTAGATTCTGTTCCGAAATATCACATACCCGAACCGATTTGAACGCGTAGTTCAGTTGGAAGAGCATTGGTTTGGTATTCCAAAGGTCGTAGGTTCGATTCCCACCGTGGTCAGACACATTTTGCAAGCTAGCCCGGTGTGGATATACACTCAGAGTAACATCACAAGCATGCAGATCTTCTGAAGTCATTCCTGAATCTACATCACCAGGACAGTATGTTGAGATACCAAATTATATAGAGAAATCTCAACTCCAGAGGATTGTTCACAGTTACAAGAAGTGTAGTACAGTCAATTTACTAAAACTGTCTGTACCATTGTAGGTAGTACCAGTGTGAAAATGCTGTGCTGAGTGGTTATATTACTACCTTAAAAAACAAGAAGAAACTCGACGTTTCGAGCGAAGGCCCTTCGTCAAGAGTTAGTTAGTAGTAGCTGCTAACTCTTGACAAAGGGCCTTCGCTCGAAACGTCGAGTTTCTGCTTGTTTTTTATGGTAGTAATGTAACCACTCAGCACATCTATTTACAACATCAACTTTTCTTTGAAAAGTCCAGATTAAATGAAGATTGCGCTTTACCCTGTATAATTATTTGATCAGAAAAGTCATGGTTAATTTCCCCATTCAAATTTTTTTGCTAAAATTTGTTCCTTCCCATTTAAAGAACAGTTTTTGATTTTTTTGTTTTTGACTGGGTTTTTGTCGTAGGGCATTATCTTGCGCGAGTGAACTATACTATTTTCTGATATGTCGCACTATAGATGTTGCATTTCCGCAGCTCGTTACTGGGCACTTGTTTTGCCGTATTAATTAAAATTGAAAGAGCCAAACGCGAGTTTGGGATATTTTGAGGTAGGGGTTACAATTACCCCTAGCCATTTTATTCTTGAAATTACTTACTATTTATTAACTTTGACAGAAATAATTAACTATAACTTTTACATATGTATCAACATTGTTTTGCCCAGTAAGGTGAGGGCAAAAATTACGCCCACACAGCCATCAGTTAAACTATTTGCCTACAGCTAAAGTTTTATCTTTGCAAAGCAGGTTTCCTCCACACCCTTGGCAGAGTTAATTAATATGATAATAATAACAAGATGACAGACATAAAATTCCTATTCGCAAGCAAATATTCTATATATGTCAATTTTTTTAAGGTATTATATGTAGTATGGTCAGTTTATTCTGTAACAAGACGCCTGCTCAGGCGTTCACACCGGCCTGAAAATGGCAACTTTCGTGGTACTGGATGTAATGTGTAGTAGAGAAGATAGGGATATAGGATCATATAAATACATCCAATAAATACAATCATGATCAGCAACTATCAACCATAATATACCAAGACGCTGGCTCAGACGTACCCTCCTGCTACGGGAAACTCAACCTGACAAGCCCGGCCCACTGTAATTCTATGATCATCAACTACCAACCGTGAATAATGACGGGCCAATAATAGCGAAGAAATTATAGTCCTTGATTTTTAATGCCGTTATATGGCTAGTTTCAGGTGCTAAAAAGTTCATAGACGTAGTCGATTCTTCTAAAAAATACGCCAATTTGCTTCCATTTATAAGATAAACTGATCCCAACTCAAAGACCTTCTCTAACCCCAACCAGAAAACATCTAATAAACAATTTGAGAATTAAAAAAGTGGGGGGGGGGGGAAAGTTGGATCTTGTTCCAAAAACAAATCGAACCGTATCACGTTTCAATTCGCCGCACGCAACGCCACCTCGCTAAAACAATCGAAAACATACATTTTATAGTAATATATGATGAATTAGAATCAGAATGTAATTTGGCGCAAATTAATGTAATTAGGTGCAAATTTACAATTATGCAAATAATACAAGAGCACAACGCATGTTTATGAGCCTACGTACAACGTATATTTATACTTGTTAATTAAAAAGTCAAACTGTCAAACCTTTAACTTGTTCTTGTTTATATTCCACTTTTTTGTATAAATTCGCTGGGTCCAAATTTTGGGGTTTTCGAGTCGTTACACAAAGAAAAACACACTAATTCAACACGCAAGAAAGGCCAGAATGCGACACAACGTAAAATCCATAGGAAACCGGCACAATTCTTTGAAAATTCAACGAAACTGTGTGAAATACATATTAGATCGCTCAGTGAAAAGCCGCCATTTTGAAACTGAACTGAATATGTCACTGGAGCACGTTGCACCCTGAGCCTGCGATGACCTAACGCAAACTCCATTTCTCGTCGAAAACAGAAAACAGAAAAAGAGGGATTTAAAACACTTGACTTACAGGCCAGTGTAATTATATAGGCTATTAATATTAATATTAATATTGATATTGATATTGATATTATTGATATTGATATTGATATTGATATTAATATTAATAGTATTTAAAAATGAAATAAAGTATTTTATAGTCAAAATACGATGATTTTTGAACTTACACTTTTGACACAAGTTATAAATATTGATGGTTATTTCAACGTTGATGATTGTGGTCGTTTCCAAATCGAAACAACGTTTTTTTCCGACGTCGTTTCGCGACTTCGTAAAATGACGTTGATCCAGTTTGCGTTTTCAACCTTAATTCGACGTCAGATCGACGTCGAAGTTCGACGTCGATGATAATGATAATGATAATGACAATGATTTATTTACAAGTGCAGCCTTTCTTATCAAGCTTTCTAACATCAAGCTTTCTAACATCAAGCTTTTTAACATTGTCTTAAAATGGCTGACCGTTGTTGCACATTTAATGTTTTGTGGGAGCTTATTCCACACATGACTGATTATGTAGGTAAAAGAGTCATGATAATATAAATTGTTATAAATCGGTTGGATCAATGTTCCACGATTTCTTAAATTGTACACTGTTTCACGTCCTTTTAAAAATTCTCTAATGTAAGCAGGACCGCTGCCAATAAAACACTTATATGCAATAACTAAAGATTGGCTATATCTTCTATGTTCGAGACAATTCATTCCCGCCTTTTCAAAAACTGTTATATAATCAGTATTTTTATTCGTGCCCATTAATGTTCTCAGACTCTAACTTGTTAGTTAATGTCTTCCCAATGCCAAGTAAGACTGGATTGCAATATTCCAACTGGGGTAAAACAGATGTCTTATACATTCGTACAGCAATATCAACAAGAATAATTCTTTCAAGTCGACGTAATGCACCAATTTTAGCACATGCCTTTGCTCTAATTTCCTTAACATGATCTTTAAATGTTAGTTTTTTGTCAAAGGTCATTCCTAAAATGCGTAAAAATCCATCGACCAGACAGGTTTATTGTCAATCTGAAATTCATAGATATAATTTGACTTTCCAAGGATCATCGACTGTGTTTTCTCTGGATTTATTAATAGATAGTTTTCTTCCAACCAATTACTTAATTTACCTACAGCAAGTCATTATTCAGCGTCAAATCATTAATGAAGATGGTAAACAATAATGGGCCAAGTAGAGTTCGTTGGGGCACTCCACACTGCACCAAACTCCAGTCGGAAAATTCACCATTAGCTTTCACGCGTTGTTTACGATTCGTCAAATAAGATGCCATTAACCTCATAGCAGAGTGAGATAGGCCATAAGCTCGCAACTTTGCCAGTAGTTAATTATGCAAATAAAGTCAAACGCTAATTTAGATAGATCGATAGCTATAACAGCCACATCCTGACCCTTATCTAGACTTTCACGCCAATCAACGGCCATTTTTAGAAGTGCAGTATAGCATGAATGACCCGGGAGGAACCCCGACATATTATCAGAAAAAACAGGAAGGAAACTTGCAGCAGTTGGTCTATTTAACCTTCTCAAAATGTTTTGAAATGACATGTCAGTAGGGTTATTGGGCGGTATTTTTTTGTTAGTTGAGTCACCTTTTTTGAAGGCAGAACAGACGTTACTCAATTTCCATCCACTAGGCCATGTTGCATTGACTATACAATAAATAAATAATTTTGTAAGCGGCTCAGTTACTCCGTCTGAGGATAGTTTAAGAAACTTAGGTGATATATTATCATAACCAGGTGCCTTGTTGACATTAATTGCGTTAATCAATTCTTGCATGTATATAAGTAGAATCAACTGTTTGAAAGGAAAACACCAAATTTGAATGCTTTCTTATTTCTTGAACGCTTGGGTGGTTCTCAAAGTTCTTTTCAGGAATGTCAACGACTTTTCCAATTACTGGAGTTGTATAATATTCATTAAGGAAATTAGCAGTGTCAGCAACGAGTTTCCCATCATCAACAAGCTGAATTTGTTGATCAGTCTGATTCTTTGACACAGGGAGGAGAGGCTTCATTTTCTTCCAGAATTCAGTACTCGTTGTTGAAGTTGAATTTCAACAATAATTCTTTATCGCCTCACGTTTTAATTTAGTAACCCTATTTCGCTGACATTTGTATCTCAGGCATGTTCATTCATCACGCTGTCGCCGAAATTTCTTATAAAGACGATTTCTTAGTTTTATTTCACGTTGGATGCTTGGGTTTATCCAAGGCAAATGTCTATCACGCATAAATGACCTTTTTGCAGGGGCATGGGTGTTACCCAGTGCTGCCATGTATCATCTAAGCCTATGTTATCGTATATATATATATATATGAACTATCCCATTTGCGCATTCAAAATATCAGAATTCAATTGATTTTGCCTTGAGCTTCGGGAGTCGTTGCTTTCGGACAATATATACTAAATCGTGATCGCTCATTCCAGGATGTAGGCCTAATACTCCACTGGTGACAAATCTTTCGACTTTAGATACCAGTATCACATCGATTAAAGTTTTGGATGTTTTTGACACTCTAGTGGGTTTATTTATCATGTTTGTTAAGCAAAACTGATCACAAAATTCTGTTAAGTCCTCGTTAGGTCCCTCAGGATTGTCTGGACCTGTTAACATATTTAGATTGAAATCACCAATATAAATCAATTCATTACGTTTGCTGAACATCAATTCAGTGGCACTTGAGCATGACGAAATGAAATCATTAACCTTGCACTTATTTGGCGACCTATAACATACACAGACCAGAAACCAACAATTGTTGCAATCTTTAACATCCAGACATATATGGATTCAATACCTTCCGGCTCAAAATTCAATCTCCTATAACAGACGACTTTGTTATGTATAAATACCACCAGACCGCCTGATCCCCGCTTTCTATCTCGCCGAACAATTCGATATTGTGCAGGATGACTGATAAAAAGGTCAGATACAGTAGCATCAAGCTTATATACTCTCTGCTATAAATAACAAATCAAATAGATTGTGGTTTAACATCGATATTACTTCGTCAACCTTGTTGTAAATACTGTTTACGTTCAAGTGGCCAATCTTCATATTATTTTTGTAATAACTGCTAATGTATTATTATTTAGACTCATGTCCGCACTTATAGCTGATATATCATTAATTAATATGTAGTTCTTCACCATTTTGATGGCCATTATCAAAGAATGAGTCTGAGTAATTCGGTATGCTGCAGTTTATACACATCCAGTCTAGCTCAGGATTCTTTAGATAATATGACTGGAATATATTCCTTGACACACCAGTGCAGATGACATGAAACCAGCGCGTACAACCAACACAGAGAATCCCGGCCTGGTTCTTTTTGACTGCAGGCTTGGCACATTCTTCACAGCGATATTTCCAGCGTGATTGATTTGTTCGTCTCGATTCAGGTCCAGGATTCAGTTCGATATCACCACAGCAAATTGCCAGCATTCGAAACGTTTTTACTGAATTTGGATAATAGCTGAGCTTTCTCCAAAATAAACCGATTCCGTCTATGCTCGCGAACCCATGCAGCATGTCGTCTCAGTGAAGTAAATTGGTATTCAAGCTTCGTTACAGCTTCCACTGAGTTGTCAAAGCATACCAGATCAATCGTATCATCACCTTTTAGCTTTAAGAATCGAACATTTACTTCAATATTATGGTATACGAACATAACCTGCATAAAAACAAGAGGCCAAAATAATACCGCCATCTTGGCCGCCATCTTAATAATTCATCGACCACACCATCCCAAGTCATGTCCGTCACGTTCAACGACCAGGCTCGATTCAACGTAACAATTAAGTCGACGTAATTTTGCCCGCTGGGAAGATTCAAAACGGCATAACATCTCTCAAATTTGTTTTAGATTTCACATCCAGAAAAACCTGCTTTTTTGTAGCCACAAACGGCCTGACTATGCGCGAATAAGGCATCAACAGAAAGCCTATTGACCATAGATTCCTGAAATACAATTTGTGGATTCCTTCAAATTTAAGTCTCTGCCGCAGGGTCCTTGAAATAGAATAGAACGCAAAGATTCAAAACAGCATCATAACATTATGTTTCAAATTATTTTTCGATTACACACTCAGAAAAAGCTGCCTTTTTCACCACCAAAACTTGCCCGACTATGCAAGAAATAAGGCGTCATAAAACACAATTTTTAGATTACCGCAATTCAAGTCTTTGCTACAGAAGCCTTGAAATAGAATAGAATAGAACGTATGATTCAAACCATCATAATATTTAGCCTCCATTTTATTCGATTGCACACCTAGGATAACCTTCTTTTTTATATGCGAGGCAACGACCAGGCTATATGCAAAAGTAAAGGCGGTTTTCCAGTCCTTTCACGAAGCTCCTCGCAGCTCGTTGCGAGTGCTTGCATAGCTTTGCTACATAGGGCCTTGGACAGAAAGAACGTGAGATTCAAAACAGCATAATATTAAGTCTCATTCATTTTTTTTCGATTAAACACTCGGAAAAACCTGCATTTTAAGAGAGAAACCGCCTTTACTATGCAAAAAAATGGTATCAATAGAAAGCCTATTGATCGCCGATTCCTAAAATCCCCTTCAGATTCTTGCAAATTCTAGTCAAGGGTCCTTGAAATAGAATAGACTAGAACGTAAGATTCAAAACAGCATAACAGTAGGTCTCAAATTTTTTTCGATTGCACACACAGGAAAACCTGCTTTCGCTTTGTTAATTTGAATTGTTGAACTGATCTGAAAAATGTTTTTTAATATGTCATTGGTATTGTTTCTGAAACTTTAATGTGTTTGTCAAGTAAATACAAGATGAATGTCCTTTCCTGTTTTGCCATTTCTTCCCACTTTTTATTAAAAATGAGAAAGGCTCTAAATATGGACATAAATTTAAGAGTTGGTTTTTATTTTTGCCATTTTTGCCCCTTTTCATTAACATAACGTTATGGGGGTTTTCCTTAACTTTCTTGTTGTCTTTTCCAATTTTTCAAAAATGAAAAACAAGGATGAAATGAACAAAACGTTAAGGGGTTAGCCATTACCATATTTTCTTTTTAGCCATTTCTTAAGAGTGCAAAAAGAGCTAGGCTAAAAATGTACAAGAAAGTGTTTTAGCCCTTTTTTCAAAAATAAAAAAGTGGATAATTTTTCCATTCTTATCCCATTTTTATCAAAAATAAAGGGGCTAAAAATGGACAAAAAGTTAAGGGTTAGCTTTTCCTTTTTCCTATTTTTGGTTGCTTAATTAAAAAATGAAAAAATGCATGTGAAAACATGTTTAAACTTAAGCGAGGAACACAGGAATACATGCCTTCGTCCCCCTATAGTTTTCAACTCTTACTTTTCGAAAATTCCGACTGCCTTTCAAACTGTTGGAAATTAAACGCGTTTGAACATTGTTGAAAAATATTTTATACTTTGATGAAAACAATCGTTTTAAAGTTTAAACTCCTGTAATATCAGATTTTAAAAAATGGAACATTATTGGGGTAATGGACTAGAGAGTACAGGCATATATAAATATGCCTTGGTCCATGGTGACCTCCGAGTAACTCACTATTTTGGTGGCCAAACGCGCTAGAACGGGAGCAGCAGGTTGCTTTTTATTCAAGAACTAACTCATTAAGTTGTTTAAGCAATTTAGCTCAAACATGCATACTTTTAGCCCCCTGTTTCGTCGGTCCTGGGCATCAGGACATTAAATAAATTACAACTACTGGGGCTAAGTCTCAATGAGGGCCCTTTCGCCACACAGCTAGTTACGTGTACATAAAGACCATGATGTGCTGACTTTTAGAACATGGAATGTCAAGAGGATGTGAGAGGATTACTCTTTACTAATGATCGAAAGGGCCCAGCTCATCTGAAAATATTTCTTCACTACTGGGGAAAGCAAAGGGCCCAACTGTGGTAAATTCCCCGGTATAGATATATCAGTGGCGCAACGCTCATTGCCGATATTGGGTAGGAGTAAAAAATTAAGGGCCCCTGCAGACTGTTGGAGGCCCATCATCCACGTCCTATCGCGGAGAAAATTAGAAAACGTAAAAAATGCACGCAGGATGAAAATCAATGGGAAAATGCAAAGTTAATAATGCTAAATAATAAAAGGCCTCCACAGACAACGAGCTGATTTTTCTATTCCATCTCAAATAAAAAAAGTTATTCTTATTAGTTGTTACACGTGTTGGAGAATGTTATTATAATATCTCAGTCAATATAAATATAATATCTCAGTCAAACAATGACAACAGTCAACAGTCAACAGTCAACAGTCACCCCCAGCCCGAATATGCCTAAGGGCCCCTCTTCTTCCGTTATGCCACTGATGTGCTCTGCTGAGTACCGGTGGCCTTTTAATGAACATGAGAATATTTCAGTGTTCTTGGAATTGAACCCAGAGACAAAATAGTACTGTTTGCCCGGGAAGACTAGTTATATAGAAATTTTTGCGAAAGTTAAAAAAAATATAAAAATCAACGACATTCTTTATATATTATGGTAAATTCTTCATTAATTAAGATTTCTATAGGGCTTGTTTTAATTTGTTTTCAGTAAGTTCTATTTTAAAAAATTTTGAAGACCAAACAAACAAATTCACATGAGGACAAATTCAAAACAAATAAGAAGAAATTTGTATTTGGAGGGAAATAAACAGATTGTGAAGATGTAGTTGAATTTTCTTGCTCTTTCAAGTGTCAATTTAATCTGTTATTAACCATGATGTACTGTCCTGCATGCAACGCTTATCGAAACCATTATAGACGTAGGAGGGGTGGAGGCTGCACTTTTATTTTTTGGCAGTTTGTATTTAAAAGTCAAGCGAAAAATAGTTTTCATTCTGCCTGCCCCATCCCCCGTCCCCCCCCCCTGACACGAATTTTGGGGAGTTTGTAACGAAAACAAATTGATATATTGATCGGGCAATTTTAATATTATCGGGCCAATTTTTGTCTGTCCTGTAATTTGTTTGCTCCGGAACGCTTACATGATTGAATCCCCTTTACATTTTCAAAACAATATGAAGCATTAATTAAACGAGTATTTATTAAGCGCACAGTACTACTTTAGTCCCGACCACGGACACTTTTTTTTAATAATGCCAAACGAAAATCACCGAAGGAAAAACCAGAACTTCCAATGAGGGCATAGTCGATAACAACGAGAACCCACAGGGCAAAGAACTGGTGAAAAAACCTCCGGGGATTTTATATCACCGAATTTCCGCACCCCGGGGAATGTCCCTGCACCTATTTCCGAAATATGTAACCGAAATCCGCAAATTAACGAAATACAAAGTAATAAATTACATATAATGAACAAAATTTAAAAGAAAAATACTTTCTTTACGCGCACAAAAAAGCAAAAAGCAGTCCACCCGAAAATAGGGCTGCAAAAATGCGCAAGACAAATATTTCTTTATTGTGCAGTAACAAATTGTTATCAGTAAAAAATATTTATCTTATCCTTGAAACCGTTGCGTATTTTAATCAAAAATATGTTCAGGCTCAAGGGCGTGGCTTCTATTTATTTTTTATCTTTTGAAGGGAGAAGATTTAACAATAATATTCCCGATGATGAATCGCGCAAATGAATCCAACGCCCTAAACATACTCTGCAATGCAGAAGAAGTAAAGCACACTTGGATGCATCATTTTTGACAACGACAACGGCCATATGCATATTCAAATCATTCAAAAGAACGATTGTAAAGAAAGTCTCTAGACTATTGTTGATC